GGCCCTGTTTGTGTGTGTGAGTGTGAGCTCACCTAGTTGTGCTTGAGGGGGGGGGGTTGGGCATCAGCTCTTTGGTCCCGTCTCTCAACTGTCAATCATCAGCGTATGTGTATGTGTGCGTTTAAGTAAAAAGTAATGTGTGTGTGTTTAACCTAGTGTTTGTGTGTGTGTGTGTGTGTGTGTGTGTGTGTGTGTGTGTGTGTGTGTGTGTGTGTGTGTGTGTGTGTGTGTGTGTGAGTACTCACCTATTTGTGCTTGCGGGGGTTGAGCTTTGCTCTTTCGGCCCGCCTCTCAACTGTCAATCAACTGTTTACTAACTACTTTTTTTTTCCACACCACACACACACACCCCAGGAAGCAGCCCGTGACAGCTGACTAACTCCCAGGTACCTATTTACTGCTAGGTAACAGGGGCACTTAGGGTGAAAGAAACTTTGCCCATTTGTTTCTGCCTCGTGCGGGAATCGAACCCGCGCCACAGAATTACGAGTCCTGCGCGCTATCCACCACGCTACGAGGCCCCCCCATATCTGTGTGTGTGTGTGTGTGTGTGTGTGTGTGTGTGTGTGTGTGTAACAGTGAGAGTAAGAGGGTGGGGTGGAAAAAATAGAGATAGAGAACTTACGATCAATCTAAAGAAACGGAATACAAATAAGAGACAAGATACAAGCTTTGACGACCGCGGCTCCCTCGTCCGTCCCTCTTTGAAGTAGTTAATGGTGGGAAGAATCACCATCTCGCCCGAGGAGCTGCTTGTGCATAGAGCAAACACCTTTGATCGCTAGCCATCGTCAAAAAAAAATAACCTCGTTCCTTCGCTAATTGGAAAGAGGCGATGCAGGTGGAGGACGCCGCCCTGGAAGGTAGAGGCAGGTAGTTCCCAATTCAGTCGAGTCTTCCAGCCACTCGGCATTTTTTTTAACGATAGAGAATTTTATTTTCAAAGAGACGGAACCAGTGTACGAGTGGGTCTCCTGGATATATGTTTTGGGGCACATGATATGATTTTTTTCCCGCACACGGATGGTCCTTGGTCGTTTTTTGCACTGTTGTTTAAGTAAATGAGATCCCATGTAAATGTAAGCTAAATGAGGTAGAGTACCTTCGCTTCTCAATTTGCATTTATATTAGGTTGAAAATGCTGCACTAATGCTCCAGCTTATCTTTCCATGCAAATTTGGTGTAAAAAAAGGGAAAAGCTCTTTTGAATATTAAAGTGCGCTTCCAGTTGGTGTTTTAAAGCATGTGAATTGAATAAATTAAAAAAAAAACAGGTCTTTGGTAAATCAGATAGTCCTTTAAACAGCCATAGTTCAAAAATTCGATGATGTTCTTTGAGGATCTTAACACGTTCCAACGATCTTACCACAACAATCAATAAAAAATTCCAGACAAAATAACCCTCGATAAAATTCTGTTCCCTCTAAAGAGTTAGTTATAACAAACTTAGGAAACCTACTTTCAGAGCGCCAAAATTTTCTTAGCCATGTTTCCCAGTGCTAAACGTAGACACCTACATTATCACACACACAGTGATCACACTAACGTGATGCATCAAATGAACAAATCCACAAGGGCCGTGACGAGGATTCGAACCTGCGTCCGGTAGCATCCCAGACACTGCCTTAATCGACTGAGCTACGACAGGGAAAAAGGGTTGAAACCGAAGTTCTACTGAACTTACTAGATCTACATTATATTTCCCAACTGCTAGAAGTAGGTTCATCCATTACATTTACACAGTGCTAAAAGTACGCGTCATTGCTGTATTTACCAGCACTATAAACAAGTATTCCCAACACACACAGAAATCACAATAGCGTGAAGCATCAATTGAACAAAAGGCAGCGTCTGGGATCCTCTCGGACGTAGGTTCGAATCCTCGTCACGGCCCTTGTGGATTTGTTCAAGTATTCCCAGAATAGGAGTACCTCCTGTGTCCTGGTGCATAGAAGGTACTCCTATGAAATTCCCTTCCTCCCTCCCAACATATTAATGCTAAAATACTCCTAATGCTAAAAGCTGGTACTTCTATTCAAAGTTATAGATAAATTTACGAAACAATAGCAAAGCTTCCCATTTAGTATGCAAAGTTGACGAAAAAATATGTTCTGACCGTAGTGGCTCAGAGTACACACGCTAGGCTCCTTGAGGTTACCTTGAGGTGCTTTCGGGGCTTAGCGTCCCCGCGGCCCGGTCGTCGACCAGGCCTCCTGGTTGCCGGACTGATCAACCAGGCTGTTGGACGCGGCTGCTCGCAGCCTGACGTATGGACGTATAGGCTCTCACGCACTACAATATTTATTAATCTTCATAACATATTACCATTCATTTACATCTCTCAAAAATTAATATTAAGCAAAACGATGTTTTAGAGAGTTTAGAGGTTTGTTTTCCCATCACCGATTATATCTAATTTTCACTGAATCGACCAAACGTCAAAATTGCTGGGTTTTAGTCAGAATTATAGCAGCGATATAATTTTATATATTATTATATATATGTACTGCGCCGAGCCGGTCGGCCGAGCGGACAGCACGCTGGACTTGTGATCCTGTGGTCCTGGGTTCAATCCTAAGCGCCGGCGAGAAACAATGGGCAGAGTTTCTTTCACCCTATGCCCCTGTTACCTAGCAGTAAAATAGGTACCTGGGTGTTAATCAGCTGTCACGGGCTGCTTCCTGGGGGTAGAGGCCTGGTCGAGGACCGGGCCGCGGGGACACTAAAAAGCCCCGAAATCATCTCAAGATAACCTCAAGATAACTGTAATATTGATGCTTTCTGAGCATTGGCCTCGATAAGTGGGTTGCTAAGGCTCGAACGTTTTTGGGTTGGCAAAAACAAAACGAAACAAGACTGATCCCAAATTTGAGGGCTCTGAGATTCTGTAACAGATACCGGAAACTTACTGTAATCATTATGTAAGAATGGAGAATTAGAGGGGACATAAGCCAGATGTCTTATCTGGGACGTTCAACGTCCTCCCAGCAAGCATAAGAAATATTGCCGGAACAACCGTGGACATCTTCAAGAGGAAACTAGATTTATTCCTCCAAGGAGTGCCGGACCAACCGGGCTGTGGTGGGTATGTGGGCCTGCGGGCCGCTCCAAGCAACAGCCTGGTGGACCAAACTCTCACAAGTCAAGCCTGGCCTCGGGCCGGGCTTGGGAAGTAGAAGAACTCCCAGAACCCCATCAACCAGGTAACCAGATACATTTAGTCAGTGGTACAGTGTTACAACGCTCGCCCCAAAGCCTCACTAGATATATCGACCAAGAATCTAGCTAAATCAAGTAATTAGGGTCCTGGTTTTAAATCATATGACGGACCATGTTCCAGGGGGAGCTAAAGGGGAGGTTTGGCTTAAGAAAAGCTGTAGAAAGTGAGAAGTCTGATCCTGCTAAGAAGAGTCATATGTCATCTGATAATGTACCTTCTTGTGTAAAAAAAATATGGAAACCGTTTATAAATCACACGTACTACTAGAAAGAGGGGAAGAGATAGACCCGGGAACTGCTTGGTGCCTCTTATTGACTACATAAATCAGAATATCTGATCGAAGTTGGAGGGCAGATGCATTGACTCTCAAATCAACTGACTCACCCAGTTTGGTACGGTGATTCTTGTAGGGTACTTTCCCAATATGGTTAGTTAAGGGGGAGGGGGGGGGGTGGTTACAACAATTTGAAAACAGTATTTAGTTCTGTTTCATATGACGATATTGGCATTCAATGGCTCCCGTCTGGCTAAATAACTTTACAAAATAAAAATTCACAGTATTTGTCTATATAGCATTACAAAATACTGCGCACTGCTCTTTGGAAAATTAAAATAAATTTTTTCCTCATTATACTCTAATCATAGCGGCGAAAAACAGCAAAATAATGTAAATTTTAAACCAGTGCTTAAACATCACCATAGGTAAACCACCATCTTTTACTCAGAAATCCATAGCATTTTCCCGACTCTACCACCTGCCACCATACCACTGGATCACACGCCAATCAACGGCAAGCTGAAATCATTAAGCTGTCGATTAAGGCAGCGTCTGGGATGCTCTCGGACGCAGGTTCGAATCCTCGTCACGGCCCTTGTGGATTTGTTCAAGTCTCAAATCATTGTTTCTGCTTTCCCGATAATGAGCAGTTTCTCCATTTTTGTAATGTTACATATTCTGTGTGTGTGTGAGAGAGAGAGAGAGAGAGAGAGAGAGAGAGAGAGAGAGAGAGAGAGAGAGAGAGAGAGAGAGAGAGAGAGAGAGAGAGAGAGAGAGAGAGACAGAAAGGAGAGACAAAGAGGGGAGAGAGAGAAGAGACAGAGAGAAGAGAGATAGAGACGGAGAAGGGAGATAGGAGAGAGATGACTTGGAAAGAAGAGAAGAAAGGGGGGGAGGGGGAGAAGGATAGGGGAAGGGAATGATCAGGAGAAAGCGCCAAGTTACTACGACTATATAGCATTATGAAGAAAAAATGATTTGGGATGGGACGGAGGGAAAAGAATGGGGTCCAGCCACTTGAGGACGGTCGGGAATTGAACTCCGACCTGCATGATGCGAGTACGTCGCTCTACCGTCCAGCCTAAGTGGTTAGGCGAAGGATAGGAGGGAGAAGAAATGAGAGAGATAATGAGAGAAGAGAAGAAGAGGAAAGAAGAGAAGAGAAACAGAGGAGAGGATAGAAAAGAAGAAGAGGGTAGGAAAGGAGTAGGAAGTTTAAAGAAAAGAGTGACAATAGATAGATACACACAGAGACAAAGACACACAGACAAACACACAGTCAGACATACACACACAGACAGATAGAAAGACAGAAAAAACACACTGAGAGATCTTGAGTGTTCAAGCACACCAGGGCACCCCTAGGTATCCCACCTAGTACGTGTGTGTATATATATGTGAGACAGAGAGAGAAGTGTCTTTAGTTGGAGGTGGAGAGAGAGAGAGAGTGGGATACTACTGGGATGTCTGCTGGGATCGTCGAAGCTGCCACAGCGCGACCGGAAGAGGTCGACATGTTGTGTGGTGTCCGGTAGCATGACGGAGCCGCTTAGTGACGCATGGGCGGCGTGGAGCCAGGGAGGAGAAGGTTATGATGTTTCCAGGTTTGAGCTGTGAGGTTGGTGAGATGGAGGAAGTAGGAATCAGTGCCCGGCGGAGGGTTATTATCTAATCAGCGAGCGGAGAGGAGGAGGAGAGGGTAGGAGATGGGGGGAAGTGGGGGACACAGATGAGTGCCGCTTCTATACCGGATGCGGAGAGAATATTAGCAACGGATCAGCCTCCACCATCACGAAGCAGGCCTCTATCACCTCTACCCTCTGCTGCTGCTGCGGCTGCTGCTGCTGCTACTGCTGCTGTCTGTATGCCCAAGCCACCACCAGCAACCAAGTCGCAGCGCAGAACCCCACAACCACCACACTCGCCACCAAGCCGCGGCCCAGGACACACACTCCCGAGTTCTTAGTCGACGTGAACACACTGCCACACGCGTCCACTACCCATACTGCATGTGAGCTAAGTGCAGACTCAAGAAACTAGTGAAATATACTTTTCAAATGTACATGCATAGAGTGGACTCAATGACTACTTGGAGCGCAGGAATATATTTTAGATATTGCTACTGTGCTTACGGACGTTGACTGTCACTTGGAAAGGGACAGGTGTACCACACAATGGCCATATTTATGTAGCGTGACGTAAAAAAAGAGGATACATTGGGTAGCATTAAGTAGCACGTTTTTTGTTTTGTTTACGAGAGCAATAGAGACGAGAACGGGTGTTGTGGGCCAGTGTGGAGGCTGGCAGTGAGTGGCCCCTGTTCCCACCAGGCGAATGAGGACATCCTATGGCAGGAGTTCACAGCCAGCCTCAACCGCTACCACCCTGAACCCCGTATCCGACTCCTTCACCTTCCTCCTGCGGCCGCCAGGTTCTCTAAAGCCGAGGCAAGGAAGGAAACAAAGTGTTTCGGCCGGGAAAATTTAAACCAGAAATTCGAATAAAAGTGGATATTTTTTTATTTTAAGTTTGTGAAACACTGAAATGTATGTGTGATTTGTTATTAGATAATTAAAAAGCGTTTTGAGTGGTTTGCATTCAAGTCTGAGAACCAGTTAAGGAGCTACCGAGCCATGAGAGAGTCCGGGACCACAATCACAGGTGGGGCTCGAAGGCGGATATGTATAGGATGTCTGGGATTACTGGACTCCTTCTTGTCTATCTTTGTGTTCGCTCCCCTTGTGGTGGGTTACTGGCGGGGTTGCTGGCAGCTTATGGATGAGTTCCTGCTGCCGGGACACAAGCAACTGTCGGTCGCTACTTCGTTCGCGATGGGGGTGTTCTCTGGCATGTTATTTTGCCTTCTGCAACGTCCGCTAAATACTTTCTGCAACCATTCCCGACGGCCTAGCCTGCACCTCCTTGTGTCTCGGCTCTACACTTCGGTGTACTGCGTGTGCTGTGTCAACCACTGGCGGGGTGTCTGGGCTGCCTGGGATCTCTACACCGGCATTTCCTGGCAGTCTGGGGCGACATCTATGGGTATAGGCCTCCTGACACTAGCCATCACTCGAGGCCTTAAGAACATCTTGGCTCCACCCTTTATCGTCGTGACGGACCATCCTACAGGATACTTCAATGTTCCAACTCTCTTCAGAGCAGAGGTATGTAGGCTCTCTCCAGACGTGGCTTTTGTCTTAAACGTGTTCAATCTAAAGGACGTTCCTCTTGGTTTAATTAAGAGTTTCTGCGTTCAAGGATTCCAATCGTTTCTTGAACACTCTCTTAAAACATTTCTCGTTTAAACATGTATTCATATATTTTCCTGCCAAAATGTGTAAGTTAATACATGTATATAAATGCATGTATTTAATGTTAAAGATAACAAATAAGTAGTTTCCTTACGATGTGATTGTTAGAAGAGTATGTTTTATTCGTTTTCAGTATTACAAATACAAATCGTGTTGTATACACGTTTTGTACACTGAAAACACGAATTCTCTACTTGAATATCAATGTTATTGACATAACCTGATCTTCACATTTTTAGGAAAATACATTTCAAGGATTTTGCAGCATATTGGGCAAATTGAATCCGCTTATGCCCCTCAAATTTACCACGACAAGAATGCTCCACTATTCCTTTAGACAAAGTCACACACCCTTTGTTCTTTATGTAAATTTAAGCATAAGGAACAAGTTTCCAAGGAATCGAATAGGAACAAGCTTCCAAGGACTCGAATATCATACTCTACCGGTCATTATTGCTGAAGAAGAAATGTTGGACTAGGCAGTTGCTTTCAATATAATTACACTGATATCGACTGCTATATAACGTGATTTCAATATGCATCTGTTGAATGTTTAGTGGAGAACTCCATTGCCTACACCAGAGTGAATGGAAGTTATGCAGGCGATGAGTCACAATAACGTGGCTGAAGTATGTTGACCAGACCAGACACTAGAAGGTGAAGGGACGACGTTTCGGTCCATCCTGGACCATTCTCAAGTCGATTGTGAATCGACTTGAGAATGGTCCAGGCCGGACCGAAACCTTGTCGTCCCTTCACCTTCTAGTGTGTGGTCTGGTCAACATATGGAAGTTACATCGCATTATTGCCTTGGGTACCCGTTCGGTGCCTCCAAATTCCTAGTGAGTTTGGGCAGACTCCAGGTTGTGTAACCTTGAAGTATATCATGGTTCATGGGTACGACATTCGTCTGGGGGCTCCCAGAACGCTGGTTCGATCCTGTCACACTGCGTCGAAGATTTTATAACGGATTCTGTTCATCACGTGGCCAACGGAGTTCTTTTCTGTCTTTTTATTGATGTTATGAATAGGACCATTGTTAAGTTTAAGGTTGAAGGAGCCTTAAGAAAACTGTCACATTATAAACAGTTTAGTAAATTGTTCAGCGTTATGTAAATTATTATTGATGTCATAACATTTTAAAGAACTCAGTACCTGTATTTACACTTCTGAATCTGACCTTTACCGCAGAGTGAAGTTATTATTTTCTTAAATATATGTAAAATAATTGCCTCACAACATGGCGTATTTAGTAACGATAACCAGTAATGGGCGCCACACGACTCCTCGATCCTTATTGCTTTATTTAGCGATTAAATTTGCAAGTAAAAACATGAAGGATACATTCTATTTGCGTCGTGTTTACGGTTCCGGGTCGTGGGTACTCGCTGACATGTTCGAGAAAGGTGGAAAGTTTGTTTTAGAGAGGCTGTTATAAGTTTAATGTTTTGAATAATGTATATTTGTACCTATTTAATTGTACTTATCTAATTGTGCTTGCGGTGGTTGAGCTTCGGCTCTTTGGGCCCGCCTCTGACCGTTCAATCAACTGGTGTTCAGGTTCCTGAGCTTACTGGGCTCTATCATATTTGAAACTGTTTGGAGTCTGCCTCCACCACATTATTTCCTAGTGTATTCCCCTTGTTAACTACTCTGATAGATCTTTTTATATACATAATGAGCATTACTGGTGCTAGAACTGAACCCTGTGATACTCCACTAGTAACATCTCTTTAGTCTGATACATTTCCGATGATTACCCCCCTCATTTTTCTGTCAAAAAATTGCTCATCCATGTAAGAAGTCTCCCTGTCACCTCTCAAGTATGTTGCAGTCTACGGAACAACTTCTTACGTGGTACTCTACCGGAAGCATTTTTGTCTACATAAATGCAGTCAACTCAAACTTCTCTTTCCTGTGAAATCTTTTTGGCTCTATCATAGAAAATATGTAGATTTGTTAGCCAGGATCTTCCTGTTCGAAAATCATACTGTCTGTTTTTATATAATTTCTCTTCAAGTGTTTTGCCCATTTGATGTTAAATATTTTTTTCTAATGTTTTAACTACGACGCTTGTCAACGATGCAGGTCTATAATTAAGAGGGTCTTCCCTACTACAATGTTTATAAATTGGAATTATGTTTACCTGTTTCCATATATCTGCCAGGGACCCTCTGTACACAAAGATGGTTGTGTTCATCTATTTGTGCCTACAGGATCGAGCTTTAGCTCTTGAATCCCGTCTTTCCAGCCGATGGTTGTCTAATCCTGATCTATTTTTCTATTAAATCTACTACAATCATGAATGGAGATAGTTTCTACAACTTGCTTATTTAGTTCGTCTTAGTTTCCTACAACTCTCAAGCTAAAAGTACAGTTTCTGAGACCGCTGTAACTCGTCTGGTTCTTAGACTTACAGTAATGCGCTCTTGTTCTGTAGGACTGTATTTTAAATATATTTTTGTACTTTATTAATGCCTTTAGATATTTCATGTTTCTTGTCCCCCTTTCTCCTCTTACTGATGTTAGGTCCAGCTCATTGTCCTCATACCCAATCCCTTGCAGGTCGTTTTCAATTAAGTGTAGAGGGCCTCCCTCTGTGATTGGGTGACGAGAGCCTTCCTCTGATTGGGATGACAAGGGGCCTCTCTCTGATTGGGTATTAACGGCTAAATCTAATCACACGTTAATATCTTTCCCTATTGACTATATTTATAACTGTCCCCCAATGGCTGCGAATAATAGTCATTAATGGAACCAAACGCTTTTGTAAATGGGGAATATTGAGCAGAAAGTGAGATGAGTGTACTGAAATGGAGATTACCAGCCTGAAAATGTGAATAAACCCACATGAAACGATACTGTTGAACACCCCGCCTTTAGTTTTCATATGTAAAATGCTCATTTGTATTTTTTTCTCCCGAATGTTGGCTCATGTAACACATACTTTTATCACTGATGTAAATGTTGTTGTTTTTCCTCAACAATATCACGTTGTTTAAACACGTTAATCACACACCAAACATTTTTTTTATTTGATTGCTTTTCGACTCTATCCAAAATGGTATCTAGCCCAAATGTTATAGTGAATGTTTAATTAACACTCACTGACGATACGATCTGATATGGCCTGAGTAAAAAAAAAAAAAGGATGTTCAATGTTGTAATATTAATGAGGACGATGTTTGCTATATCGCTATCTGTGTCAAACTGTCTTCGCTTTTGACTGTGTGTGTGTTTGTCTCCGTGTTTTGACTGTGTGTTTTGACTGTGTGTGTTTGTCTCCGTGTTTTGACTGGGAGAATTTTACTGTCTGAGAGTTTAGACTGCTTGTTTGTCTGTTTTCTGACTGGGTGTTTTAATTGTATGGATGTTATGTCTGTATGAGTATTTAGCATCTGTATGATGTGGTAGATGACGTATCTGTATGATCCGGGAGGTGGTACACATTTCCTATTACCTAATGCCGCTGTTCACCCAGCAGTAAATATATACCTCTTGTGGTGAAATTGAAATTCAAATAAGATTATTGAGTTATAAATAATCACATAGGGTTGAAGTAGCTCAAGCTAAACCGACCACCTATATACCCGGACTATATACTATATATTATATAGTATATACTATATACGGAGCAATATACCCGCCTATATTGGTAACAGCCCCCCCCCCTCCCCTTCACCAGTCATCCTGCAAAGTTGAGTGAGACTAGCTCTAAGCCTCTGGCCTCCAATATATATATATACCCTCTTACAGATATTAATATACAAATATGTACAATGCAATTTGTCCTTACAGATTTTGGTGAGTAATTGGTATTCCCTTGAAAAGCCAGAAGCCTGTTATTTTCTCCTCGTAATCCATTTGCAGGCGTTGTATTATACATCATACATATAATGTATACATTATACAACATTATACGCCATTTACAGGCGTTGCATAATGTTAATCAGCGTTGAAATACTGATAACAGATATTGATTATAGATATTGATCATAGATAATGATATGGATCATAGCGGATAAACGGGAATTTCGCAATATTACAGTGCCGAGGAAACGGAATCCACAGAACAACGCGTGATTATATATAGTTAACGATGACAGTAATGCTATAGATTATAGCATTTACTATACTAGGAATTATTTACCAGGAGAAGTTTTGTCACAGATCACTATAGGAAACTAATTCCTAACGTATATGTATAACAATTGTATTTTTCAGTGTTGTTAAACTCTATTTTAGGTGAGGATAAATTTGTTTGGTTAGATAGCCTAATTTAGGTTATATTTTTGGGATAGCATTTGGATATCCATTTGCTTATTTGACCCTTAGATGATTGGCCAGGTTGCCACTTAATCATACAATTATTGCATAATTTTGCAGTGATTATATTTCATTAGATTTCACATTAGATTAGATTAGATTGCACTCAATCGGAATCAGACAAAATGAAGTGGAACTTCAACTACAAATAGAACCGAGAAATATATAACACAACTCTGATTCGCAATTTGTAATCTATATTGAATCCTTAACTTTGTTTAGGATTCAGCGTGCATGAGGCTGTTGCTCTTGATATGTCGTTGGTAATATAGAATGTTACACACAGAGATCACACTAACGTGATGTATCAAATGAACAAATCCCCATTTCTTGGATCCTCGTCACGGCCCTTGTGGATTTGTTCATTATTGAATGTTACTTCTATAAATTGAGGTATAATAGGAAATTAGGCAAAAAATACAGTTAACTTCCAATTATTCGATTTTGCTTGGACGTATACAAACAAAATATTCAACTCGGCATAGTTAGGATCTTTTTGTGTATTACTAGGAAATAGTAACTTACATATACAATATATCATACACAGTATGGCTAATTATGCATTTATGTAAGATTTTATGTGGCTGAGGCAACCTGCCACGCCTAATGCGTTTGGTTTACTTTCGTATATTATCTTCTTATCCTATAAGAGGAGAATGCTGTGTTAAGCTCTTCGAGCACATCTTAAAATCCTATAACAGCTGCAGCATCGCAGTCTTTTAATGAGGATAAGCTTGACACACACACACACACACACACACACACTCACACACACTCACACACACACACACACACACACACACACACACACACACACACACACACACACACACGCTAAGCTGCGTCTGTACGTTTGACTGTTGGTATGTAAATGATGATATTTACTGAAGTGTCTTGAATAATCGCATTTTTATGGTTGGCTTAAATAATTACAATGCAGTGTAATTAAAGACTAGGATTAGTGCAGGTTGAATCAGGTATAATACAACCTTATACTGATTACATAGATTAAGGTAATAAATTGCATAGGCGAATGATCTTCGGGAATTAATTAAAATGGTGGAAATAACCGTTTATTCACTCGGTTATATAGATAATGTAATTCTATTGATAATTTCTGTTGAACAGCTCTTAGTGGTGGTTAAAGGTTGTTATTTAGATCATAACTAGCCTCGTGGGTATTTAGAGTGTTATGAAATTCGCTTAGTTATGTCACCCCCTGTGTGTTACTGTGAGGGACGGTCACTCCCGTGTGTTACTCTGAGTGACGGTCACTCCCGTGTGTTACTGTGAGGGACGGTTACAATGCACACTTAAGCCTCAACGAGGGAACTAAGCACACCCCCTCAAGCACTATTTACCTCAATTCTGCTAAAGAGTGAATTGCCAAAGATATGGAAAAGGTCAGATTTGTCACCAATATTACAAAAACGAGGAAGACGAGCCAATGAACTACCAACCGGTGTTACAAACAATCATTTACTGCATGATGTTAGAGAGGCTACTCACAAGTCATTAAGTATTCAAATGTTATTTTGTTCCCTGAACATCATCTTGGGTTCAGTGAAGATCATTCCTAACGATTCAACTGGACTCAAGGGAGCATGACAAAAGTAAACAAGAAAAAGTACAATTTAAAAAATCCCCAATGTGAATAAATCCACAAAGGCCGTGATTAGGGTTCGAACCTTCGTCCGGGAGTATCCTGTGTGTTAGGCCATTGTGGATTTGTTCATTTGATGTATTACGTTATTTGTGATTTCTGTGTGTATCCCCAATGTAGTTAAATTAACCATGTGATTTGAAAATACAATTTTTAATAATTTTAAAAGTATTACAGTCAGCTGTGAGCAGCTGAATTTTGTTATAGGACTTTTTATATTATTGCTATTCCTTCACCAATTTATTTCATGTATGTTGAACAAATTCTTATAAAAATAATTTCAGTAAATGATCTAGCAGAACAAATAAATAATAATGAAATATATTTGTCATTGAAACTAAAACATGATTTGCTACAACTTTTCAGCTAATTAAATGATTTTTTTTAAACATATTTATAATTTGTAAACTTTCAGATCTCAAGAGGTAGTTCATATTAAGGGAAAAAACGTCAATATATGATCAACTAAAATAGAAATTTTAAAATTAAATTGAAACTGAAATAAGTTTATCGAGGAATAAATACACACAAATTGATGAGGGTATATATATATTATATATATATATATATATATATATATATATATATATATATATATATATATATATATATATATATATATATATATATATATATATATATATATATATAAATTTCGTCCTTAAGTTTTCTCATCAAGTTCTGGTGTGTAGGAGGTGGAGTAGAAACATTGCAACTATTGCAAGGGACTTTGATTAGAGTTCTATGACAAAATAAAACTCATTAAACAAGAGAAGGAACGGTTGGCTTTTACTATTTCTCTTCATTATCAGAAAACTTTGATGCTGTCTCATACAAAAAGCTAATAAACAAACTTTAGTTCAAAGATGATGCATCTGGAGAAGCGTGAGGGGGAGTTCCTCTGGGGCGGGAAACAGAGAGTAACTGTTAAGGAGGAGCGAAATGTTACAGAATGATACTGTAGGAATAGATACTAGAATATCTTCTTAAAAAATGTTAATGACTTGTCGTTGGGTATAAGGTACTTGTATTTCTGTTTACTGATGCTGTAAAGTTTGAAAGTAATTAGAACAGATGAAAACTACTGAAGTTTGGATGATGGGGTTAGTAGGGGGTGGTGATGATGGTAGCAAGGGGGGGTAGTAATGGTGGTAGCAGGGGGTGGTGATGGTGGTAGCAGGGGGTGGTGATAGCAGGGGGGTGGTGATGGTGGTAGCAGGGGGTGGTGATGGTGGTAGCAGGGGGTGGTGATGGTGGTAGCAGGGGGTGGTGATGGTGGTAGCAGGGGGTGGTGATGGTGGTAGCAGGGGGTGGTGATGGTGGTAGCAGGGGGTGGTGATGGTGGTAGCAGGGGGTGGTGATGGTGGTAGCAGGGGGTGGTGATGGTGGTAGCAGGGGGTGGTGATGGTGGTAGCAGGGGGTGGTGATGGTGGTAGCAGGGGGGTGGTGATGGTGGTAGCAGGGGGGTAGTGATGATGGTAGCAGGGGGGGGTAGTGATAATGGTGGCAGGGGGTAGTGATGGTGGTAGCAGGGGGGTAGTGATGGTGGTAGCAGAGGGTGGTGATGGTGGAAGCAGGGGGGGTAGTGATGGTGGTAGCAGGGGGTAGTGATGGTGGTAGCAGGGGGTAGTGATGGTGGTAGCAGGGGGTGGTGATGGTGGTAGCAGGGGGTAGTGATGGTGGTAGCAGGGGGTAGTGATGGTGGAAGCAGGGAGTAGTGATGGTGGTAGCAGGGGGGTAGTGATGGTGGTAGCAGGGGGTAGTGATGGTGGTAGTGGAGGAGAGGTGGGTTGACGTACGCGTTCATCCTGTCTCTCTTACGTACACGTTCCCTTTTTCCTCCTCATCTCCTAAGTGTACACACACACACACACACACATACACCGTCTGGACCAGCTCTTTGATGCGGCCCGGGATGCCTCTGTAAATCATTCATATTATTTCATGGAGTTTGACCAGAGAGAGCTGGTTCGGATTGATGCATGACAAACACTCCGATATTGGGCTGTCGCTTTGCTGGCCATCTATCCCCAGGGAGAGCAGATGGAATTGTCACTTGAATCAATCTATCTGTTTGTCTAACTTGCTGCCTGCTTGCGTATCTGTCTGTCAATTCGTTAGTCAGTATTTCTGTTTGCTTGGAGAGTATGTCTTACTTCCTTTGTGCCTGTTTTCTGTTGTGTGTGTTACTTCTTTGTAATCT